ACTTTCTGTGCGCATATTTTCTTTATTTCTTCTGTTACTTCATTTTTTCTTGCTTTTTCTTTTCCAATTCCTCTTCTTTTCTCATGCAAGCTTCTTGAAGGAAAAACACCTGAAATACAGTAACACTACCAGTATAAAATGACATAAATGAATAAAAACGGTAAAATAATTCATGCCGTCGAGTCAAAAATACAATGAAATTTCGCGTTATCATTAACATAATACACATGACCACTTATAGTCAAAACACATCATCATCCATGAATTCATCATAATATAATTACATACATCATAATATACATGACATCATCATAATAACCTCACAAACATACATCATGTTACATCAATCGGATAATAACATCGATTCATCATAGTATCATCACAGTTCATCACTCAAAGGTCTAGTTTAATCATAGCAAGGTACTAGAAATATACACCCTTTTACTCCTTTATTCCTCCTAGTTATGGTTCATCGTGTTAGCTATCTAACGCTTCAAATGACGCATCAAACAGAGTCCAGAAACTCAAGTTATGGCATTTACAAAAAATTTGCAAGTAGTCATGGTCGTTATTACCTCGCCCGACAAATGGGTCTGTTCGTCTGATGCTCGCCCGACGACACAGTGGTGACGGGATCTCACCTCTTACTCGCCCGACGAGGCTGGAGCAAATCTCTTCCTCCCATACATTTTTCAGAAGCATCCCTTTTCCACCATTCCTTCGCTTCTTGTATCGCCCGGCGAAGACCAGGCAAAATTGCTTCACCCAGCGACGCTTGTCTCGCCCTGTAACGTGTACCTGACAACAACTCCCTGTTGCAATTATGTATATTTTTAATGCCAAATTCTCTTGTGAGTTCATACCAATGATAGTCCAAATTTATCCCAATTCAACATATTTTCATTACACAACAACAATACAACCTTATAGGCATCATGTGCATCAAATCATATTTCATCAATTTCATCATAATCCCCAACAAATCTCGACATACATCTAAATCCCATATTAATTCTAATGACAAATCACCCTCTTACCTTAGATTCCTAATAATTGACCTTTCTCTTTGTGATCCACAATGATCTCCTTTGTTTCATCGTGTCATATCTTTCTTCACAATGTTCTTCTCTCTGTCACGATTGCACAGAATGAACAATGACACTCACTTTTCCTTGTTTAAGCTTTGGACCCTTTCTATGGTCTTCTCATCTTACTCTCACTAATCCTCATAACATTACCACCTTGTTCTTAACACTTCTACACCATTTATCCTATTTATTTTATTAATAATAATATTTCTAAATAATTAAAACTAATAATCTAATATTATTAAAACACCCAACATCACTTAATTTCCCCTATACCACACATATCATCATATCATATATCATATTCGTCAAAACATCACATATACTCATCATAAATCAATTAAATAATTAAATAAATAATCTAATTATTTTTGGGGTGTTACACCAAGCATTTCTATGAGTCGATGATTGAAAAATTTTAGTGGTATTGATTACAGTGTCCATACCGACGTACCAAATTTGTTGTTGAGATGTAAAAGTTAGTAAAAGAAATTGATTGCTCTCAACAATAATTGTTTTCTTCAACTGATTACTCCAAGGAAGAAATTTTGTCTCTCAACCGAGAATTTTTTAACTACTCCAAAGAACATTGAGTACGAACGTGAAAAATTGAATTATTAACCTAAAAACAATAAAAATATTAAATGCAGACATAGTATGATTCATTGATTGAAGTGGTAAATAATTTTGTCGAGTTTCAAGTGTAAAAGTGCTAAAGTCCCACATCGACTAGGAATGGAGGAAATATTGAGTTTATAAGAGAGGTGACCCATACTCCCATTGACTTAAAATTTTGGGTGGATATGTGACATCAAGGTCTCTTGTAACCATGAATGTTTGGATTATTGACACTTCCAGACCTTGCTCCCCAGACTTCCCCAGTAAGTGGAATCAGAGCCCTGATTGGCTCAGTGGAGGAGCGAAAGTGAATCTTAGTATGGATCAAGTCGGTTGGCTCAGTGGGGGCGCAAGTGAATTCTAATAGGGATTAAGTCTAGTGATATGGGTGACTCACACTTGTGGAAGCGAAAGCGAGTCCTAGTATGGATCAAGTCTAGTGATGTGGGTGACTCACACTTGTGGAGGAGATTGATGGGTTTCAAGTGTGAAAGTACTAAAGTCCCATATCGACTGGGAATGGAGGAAATCTTGGATTTATAAGAGAGGTGATTGATACCCCCATTGCCTTAGGGTTTTGGGTGGATATGTGGCGTTAAGGTATCTTGTAACCATGAATGTTTGACCCATTAACACTTCTAGACCTCGCTCCCCGAACTTCCCCAACAAATTTATAAAATGTGATATTTATAGAAGAAACGACCTACGGAAGATGACGCTTCATGCGGCTTATCTACAATGATAGTGTGTGAATATCCCCTCTATTTGGAGATATGATATGTTGCAACCCACATTCGACTTGTTGTCTTCTGCTTCAAGACGTGATTCCATAATCTTCACCCTCTTTAGTTAGTGTCGACATTAACATGAAGAATATCTACAATCCAAGCATCTCATTCTAATTTATTTTGACTAAGTCCACCATTCTTAACGACCACGATATACCAAATAAATTTAGAAAAGATTTGGTTAATTCATATTTAACTTGTGTTTAAATTCACATGACATTGAATGGGTTGAGATCTTCGCTTAATTCTAAAATCATCTATCCGCAAATTAACAATTACAAAACGGAAGCACTATATAATTAGAAGCGGTAATTGATATTGTTTGAATGATCCATATTCACATGTAGGACTGACAATGAATCAAACCAACTCGGACATAATTCAAAATTTAATTTAATAACTAAATTGTTGAACTATGTTCATGAACTAAATAAGCTGAATGTGAGAAGAAGAAAAAAGCTATGTTCGTTAACTAAATGAGCTAGACTTGAACTATGTATAGTTCGACTTGTTAGATTCATGACTCAACTTTATTATATATGAGAAGAATTACATTGACTCTAAAAGTAAATTTAAAGACTTACTCCACATCTTAACCCTTTATTTTTTTTAATGTGATAATCTTAATTGATCATTTATTTTTTTCAAATGGGCAAAATATTTTTAAAAATAATTATACAAATAAAATCGTCATATAAAAAAGATTATGTACAATGATTGATGTTAAACTTTTTATTTAACAAAATTCTTATATTAAATAAAAGTATAAGAATTTTTTAGGAAAAAGTTAAATTCTAATCTTATAAATTTTATTTTATTCAAATATATAATTTTTTGAAATTAAAATGTCAAATATAAAAATAAAATAAAAAAAAGACTAAAAAAGCTTTTAAGTGTGTAGAATAAGTAAGTTGAACCTAAACCTAACAAGTTAAATCAAATTGTTCTTGAATTTACAATGATTCGAACTTGAGCTTAAAAAAATCCAACTCGAACTTAAGTTTTGAGCTAAATCAATTTTTATCGAGTCGAGCCGAGATGAGACGAATTTACCTCGACTGGACTCATCTCCAGTCCTATTCACATGTCATAGTAATCCATAATATTTATCATCTAGTAATCCAATATCAATGTATTTAAAGAAGTAATCCTTGCAGGATTCAAACCTGAGACCTTGAGAAGAGCACACTCTTTGATCTCAAACATTCACCAGTAAATCACACACACGCACACAGAGAAATATAAATGGTATAGAATGTTCTAAGCTCTAAATTGAGATTTTTTTTACTCAAATGCCACTATTTTGAAAATAAAATACTAATATATACCACATTTTGAAGAAAAAAAATCCAAGATGACACACTTTAAGAACAAGTTCGTCCATCCATTAGACGAGCCAATAAAAAACTACATGTAACCTTGACCATCCATTAGACGAGCGTTTATTAAATCGGTAAATAGGATACCTTACTTAATAAGTGTATAATTTCAAATAATTTTTCAAATTAGAAACAACAACGGATTTGTTAAATCAGTTAACAGGAGATCAGACTTAAAAAGTGGGAGAAAAAAAACGGCTTAACAAGTGCTCGTCCAATAGATGGCCAAACCTACACGTAAATATATTTTCTTTCATTGGCTAATACAATGGATGGAGGAGCTTGTTCTTAAAGTGTGACATCTTTGAGAATTTTTTTTCAAAGTGTGGTATATTGATATTTTAGTTTCAAAATAGTGGCATTTGAGTAACAAAATCCTAAATTGGTTTATATTTTGACTTTTGCTTCAGTATGTGCTCGCCTTATTCGGATCCAATTTGTTACAATCTATGTTCATATCAAACCCCATTATGTTGAAATCAAGTAAAGCCTCCATACTTTTGGGTGATTTGCCACACTCTCGGTGTATCTTCGGATGAGTGTTGAATTTAATAAAATCACAATAATATTATATACTTTTAATGTAATTCTTGTCAAAGTAAGGAGATGATCTATTTCCTTGTAAAACATAGAGTGATTTTTAACTGAGTTCAGTTTAACCACGTTCTGTAATTAAAGGAAGGACCCATCAATTATTGAAAACTGACCCTTTTCCGTACTATGTTTAAAATCCTATCAGTGTAACAAATTTGATACCCCACCAATAATCCATCAGCAGGATAGTACAAAATTAATAATATTATGACGAGTGGCTCTTATGCAGGCAGCTCAGCTTCCTCCTGGTTTCCCAATTACACAAAAGCTTAACGAAAACCCTATTGCAAGAAAGTAATGAAAATTCCATTCCCAAGTCTTTTCATTTTAATCCCATTTTAGCCCCCAAGATAGATGTTTCAACAAATCTTCCTTCCCAGTGATAGTCAGCATAGTGCATGCTTCGCTGCGAAGTTGAGAGAAGCCGGTAGGCACAAGCATTTAAATTCCCAGTTGGGGTAACAATGGATGCAGTCTCAATCACAGTGAGTTGTAGTCAGAGTTATCAAAAACTTTGATGACAATAACTCAAATTATTGTTGGGGACCTTTATTTAAAAAGGTGTCATAAGCACATGGCTGGTTCAAAGGGTGTGGCCATAAAAACCAATGTTACAACAACCACAGTAGACAAGTCATTAATAACATGCCAACACATAAGCCAAAGTTGAGTTTCTGTATCAGCAGCACAAAGACCCAAATTGACTTTGTTGAATAAGATGGCACCACAAGATAAAATGCCATTTTAAACAAGGGTGAAAGTTCAAATATAGTAACCATACAAGGTATCAGCATGATTATATTACATGTTTGAACACAAGATGTAGTACCTAACCTTGTCTCTCCTTAAATACTGAAAGGCCTTAGTACAAACTCCCAAGCAAGAGTACCATAGTAATGACTCCTTGAAAAAAGGCTTCAGATTATCTATGATTACTGTATTATAGAACAGAAAGTTACCTGTGCTGAATAAACCATTCATAAAGGAAAAGAAAAGTAGCAACGGCAGTAAAATAGAGAGAAAGAAAGGGGGTTTTATTCACTTCACTAACACCCCACAACAATCAAGTTACATAGAAAAAAACACATTATTCTCAGTCACACTGATCAATCTAACAAATGGATAAGAATTGCTGATAAATAAAAATCTCAAAAACAGAAGTTTTACAGAGTGGAACCAGTAGTCCCCGTGTCTTACAGGTGCACTAGTCCCTTCTCAAACAAAAGTAAGGCACAGTTCACCAGAAGCTATGCCAAATTCCTACCATGGACACTTCAAATGGAACCCCAGTCTCTTCAATAACGCTCAATCGGCAGCCCAGAAGCATGAAATTCTGAAGAAAAAAAATGATACTCCAATAAAATTGGAGCAACAATTGATCATCAGATACACACTTTCTCATTAACCTAAACCTATTATGTGTATGTTTGGAAACAATGCAAATCACCGCTACCACGCGTTATGATGCTTTCTACCGCAAAGCTACAATTCCTAGCTTTTACATACCGTGCGGTTGCACCGTGACTATTAAATATTCCAAACATAGGCTACATGAAAAACTACATTTGTACTCTTAATAAAAAAAAAGGAAAATTCAAAACCCACCATGAAAGAGAAACAGAAGCAGCATGTTTGATCTTGATTCAACTTCAAGCATTGCATATCACATTAATCCATAACCCATGCTTCCATTTCCCTTGTCAAGCAGTAACCTCAATAATCTAAATAAATATTTCATCATCTTCTAAAAACCTAATCAGTTTTCCCACCTAGGAAAACCCTAATTCTAATTGAATTCCTCAATTCAAGGACTTCATCACTTCAAAACTAACATAAACCTAACCCTAAAATTTGACTAAGAATATTCATTCTACTTTTCCACACCAAAAAAACACACAGACACCATAATTAATACATAGCTATAAATATATAGTAAGAACGTGAACAGTGAAAACCGAGAAAACCAGAGTAATTCTCCAATCAACGATCCTCGTCGTCTCCGCGGCCAGAGTTTCCATTACCACCTGACAGTGAAGCCAGCAAATTCAGATGACCGGGAAGGTAATTCCCTAGCCTCGCCGCGGAAGCTTCTCCCATAGAACCTTGTTGTTGTTGATGCTGTTGTTGTTGCTGTTGCTGCTGATGATGAAAAAGCGAACTATGCTGATGATGCTGATTCGGAGAAATCGAAAGAACATCCTGCTGCGGTTGAGCCGCAGCCGCAAAACTCCAAAGCTGAGCGAAATCCGGCCTCCACAAAGCAGGAGGAGCAGTAGGCGCCGCAATCGAAACAGAAACGGTATCATCGTGTTCCGAACGTAACCGTTTCCCGAGAATGAACGGAGAAGGAGAGAGAAACGGTTTATGCTCGGAGAGAGAAGAGAAAGAAGCGGGAGTAGTTCCGGTGCCGGTGGCGGCGATGATGGAGGGCTCGGCTTGACGGAGGAGCCACTCGATGGTTTGGCCGTCGGATTTATGACCGAGCTCACGTGTTAACTGGAAGACACGTGCGGCGCATATTATCGGCATGCGTATTCTTCTGCCGCGTCCGTCGACTTTGCTGTGACGGTCTTTTGACGGTGGTTTTTTAACGGCGGGTTGGTTTGTGGATTCTGGGTCTGTTATTGTGACGGCGTTAGATGTTTCCTTGGAGTTAGACATGTGGTTCTTTTCTTCTTTTTTTTTTTTAAATTTAATATTGGGAACGAGAGGGTTTTGGGTTTTTTGGAGGAGGAAGGAGGAGGAGGGAGTGAGTAATGTTAATGTAATGATTGAGTTTGGAAACAGGAAGTGGTGGAGACAGGAAGAAGCACATGGGTGGTGGGTCCAGTACTTGTATTACACAGCTCATACCCCTCTAACTCTTCTCTTTTACGCACTACACTACTGTTCCTATCTATCTTCTCCACTTGGATGGACTTGTATTCCACGCGCTTCTTTCACCATTCACCATGTTTGGATTAAATTTGGAAGGGAAGATTAGAAAGAGGAGATAATGATTTTGGTGGAGGAGGCTGGAAAGAAAATTAATTAAGCATTTTATGTGTATTTTTTTTGTAAACATTTTGAGGTTGTTTGGAATGGTTTTTAGATGGAAAGATTTTGAAAAGTTGCGTTTATATTTAGAAATATGATTGATATTTCAAAAATTTTAAAAATAATATGATTTCAAGTTAATGTAGTGTTTTATTTTTAAAGTTTTTTAAAGAATATCGAGTATATTTTTTATAATAAGAATCATTTTGTCATATATCAGTATTGTAAAAATAAATAAAAAATTTGATGTAATATATATTTTTTATTGGTTGACATTGTAAATATAGTTAAATATATTTTTTTTCTCATTTTTGTATAAATTGTAAATAAATATATATTTTAGTATTATGTGATTTTTAATTATATAGATTAATTTAAATTTAGTGGAAAAAAAATCTAGAGTGTTTGTTAGTATATGCATCGAAAGGTAAAATAACGTAAGTTTTAATAATGTTTTACAGTAATTTTTAACTTTTTCATTTTTTTTTTACATTAAAAATGTATTGGGATATATGATTTTAAGCAAGTAAATGATCTTTTGAAGTGACAAAAAAATTTCATTATTTTTTTATAAATTATAAACTTAGTTGATAACAGATAGTAAATAAATTAGTTGATAAATTGAATTTATATGTGCTTAATATAATTTACTAATGAATTAGTTTGTATATATAAAATATGAAAAAATATATATTTAATTTATTTTATTTTACTTTTTTTTTAAAGTGAGGGAGAAATACAAGGAGAGATAAAGAGAAAAAAAAAGAAAATTTGAAGGTTAAAATAAGGGATTCTCGTTTTTTTCTAAACAATTTTAAAAAATTAGCAATTTTAAATTTGTTAATTATTGAATCGAGTTGATCTTTGAACACAAGGTTTATAAGATATAGTGTTATATTTTCACCATTTAAATTGTCAAACAAAGTTTGAGAAAGGAGATATTGTGTTTGTATGGCACTACATTTTTTGGGATGCTCTACTAGTGTTTGAAAGTAAACCTAATTATAATTAGCATGGGTTCCTCTGGGGTAGGCCATCGGCATGGAGACCTTCAATGGTCGACTCTTATTTCTCGAATGACTCATATGTCTCCATCTCAATCCTAAACACACAAAATTATTTGCACAAGCTCTTCAAAATGCGTGTGACATGACATTTTCTAATTTTGCTAAGTCTTGCCTCAGAGGTAATCGTCTCACGATCAAGATATATGAAACGGATTATAAAGTAAGACTCAAACGTTGCAGAAATAATTTACATGGGAGATTGATTACTAGTAAAGGTAATATGTCATTGAATGCATCAAAATTACGGAACAAACTCATGAAATTATGGAATCCAATTATTAATTGGAATTTAACTCTTTTGGTAAATGGTTATTTTTAATTTTCATTCAAATCAAGGGAAGATCTCAACCAAATTTGAAGTGCAGGCATATGGAATATTAAGTCCTCGCTACTGCATTTGTATGTGTGGACACCAAATTTTAGATCTAGAAATTTGAAGAATATTGTTGTACCCCAAAATTTGCCCTCTCTTTTTCTCAAGATATTTCTCACAAAGATCATCAATGTTTCTAGCTTGCACAAGTATTGACTAAGTCAAGCCATCTCCTCAACACTGATGCCTCAAATTAGGGTTTGAGTCTGCATACGAACAGTTGGACTTCTAATGTTTCAAATGACTTTCATGGATCGTTATGGACCCTCAAGATTGCCCCTATCAAGTTCAAGTCTTGGAAAAATTGCTCAGTCAATTGATCAGATGACCTAAAATCATATGACCTAAAATCAGATGTATTGGAAAAAAAAGTCAATTGTGGCCAACCTACAGTCAAACTTCAAGATTTTGGATCAATATCAACATTTTGAACTCATATGCATCATTCAATCAAGATGGGATCACGATTTTCCAAGAAAATCGTTCAAATTATCAAAAGGGCAAAATGGTCAAAATTATGGTTTTGACCGAGAATGACCAGTCTTCGATTTCTGACCTAGTACGTGATTTATTAGTTTGAAACATTGATCTCAAGGATCCAAATACATAATTTTGACCTAATCGTATATTTCAATTCATCTCCCGAGATCAGTGGATTGATAAACGAAATTCGGTCAACTGATGAAAAAAGTCAATTGTACACTGAAAAGTCAAACTTTGACTTTTTTGACCAAAATTTGTGTTTCGAAGATCACATTTCGTCAAGGCATTCAAAATATGAAATTTGATCATCAAAAATCAAGAAAGTTAAAAGTCATTTTGGAAAGATAAACTTTTCCAGACTTAGAAATTTTTCTAAGTGTTGTATACTTGTTAATTTCATTGCTTCATGACATCTTTTCACTACAATTCAAAATAATTCAAGATGTTAAAAATAATTCAAGATGTTACAAATAATTCAAGTTATTACACGGTTGCATTTTTTGCAAGTTATAAATCCTAAAGCTTTGTCTTGTTTGAATTTTTCCTTTGACCCAATCTCCAAAACCTTGCCACTATAATGTCCATAAATATGCATTGTCTTTGTTACAAGCTGCATAAATGTGTCCATAAAACCAGACTTGTATAATTCTACAAAGGTTGTCGTCCACAAGCCTAAAACCATGTTAAAAAATAGTATGCTGTCCTGCTACAAAATAGCCCTGCACCAAGCTGCCACTCCACTCCAAAACTGCTACAAAACAGTCTTGATATGCTGCTTCTAACCCTGTCCAAACCTGCACTATATAAGTCTCATATTTGCACCAAATTAGCCCATAAGATCTGCATCTAAAAAGCAATGAAACAATATACTCAAACAGTTCAAAAACTTATTTGTTTCCCTCCCAAATCTCAACCAATTTCATCTACAAATAAATTGTTTTCACAATACACTAAGGGTGGGCTTTTAGAGAGAGAATAGACAGTTTTGAAAATCTAACAGAACTTTTCTTGTAACTTCTGCTCATCCTTAGCTCTATCTTCATTCACAAAAATAAAACCTCAAACCATTGTCCCCCTTGTAAGCCTTCCCATAAACCAACTATCCAAACACTTCACATCATATAGAGATTGTTCAAACACAAGAACAGTTTCTATAGTGCCATTATCATCACCTTCCAAACACAAACAAAAACAATATTGTATATTTTGACTGGGTTGGAGTTGGTTCAATAGCTTTCAATACAAAGGAAGGATTACAGTAGCTTTTTGGAGGTTCATTGAAGCCCTCACATCATCTTGAAAGGTATTCAGACTCAAAACACAAAGTGCAGTCTCAAGGTAAGTCTTCTTGACTTTTCCTTTTTTATACATCATCATTGGTTCATTTGTGGAGATAAAACGTAGCTATCTTTGTCCTTGAAGTTAATCAAATGCTTACTGTTCATTTTTATCAATTATATGTTGAAAACTGACTTGTACAGACAATAGAATGATGTTAGAGGCAAAAAACTGCAGCATGAGTCGACACATACTCACATGAGTCGACAAATTTTAGTGACAGAACAGGGTATGAGTCGACACAAGGCCTTATGCATCGATACATACTGTTATCCAGACCCAAAACAGAAAGACAAAAGGTGCATGAATCGATATAAAACACGAATGTGTCGACACAAGTAAGAAATGAGTCGACACATACCATTATGCATCGACTCATACTGAGTTGATTTTGGTTTTACAGGAACAAGAAGGGTTATGTGTCGATGCATATATGCATGTGTCAACACATAATGGTTAAAAAATATTTTTCCTTTCTTTTACATTGTTTTTATATTTTCTATATATTTTCTTCATTGCTATTCAATATGTTGTAATAATTAAGCTTATTTTATCCCCATTTGTAAATTATACCACCATCCCCCAAGTGATGTAATAGCTTAGGATTTTAATTTTCATAATTTATCGCTTTAATATAATTGTTAGTAATTAGGGTGTGTATGGAAAGATGAAACCAACCATTAGAAAATCATAATCTCAAAGACAAAAATGCATGCAATTGAAACACAATCCACACACGCGTACCTTTAAGGTAATCCCGCTTATTGCCTACTGTTGTACCCCAAAATTTACCCTCTTTATTTCAACCTTTTTGGCTTACATTTCATTATTACATACACGCATATCATTGGTTCTATGGTTATGGGATCAAGGTATATTTAGCAAGCTTCGTCAGGTTACAAGTGACGTTTATTTCGCCAATGGATGTTCTCAAAGTATTTTTCGTGATGAAGATCAGTTCGCCGTTTCGCAGTGATTCGGGGTTCAAAGATTCACAAGTCTAACCCGGCGCGTCATATTCAGGTGCTCTTTCGCCAAGATGTCCCTGGTGACATATTCTCAAATTTAGGTTATGCTCGAGAGCCAATTATTTAAAGAAGGTCTTCGAATGTGCGATTTTTTCTCGAAGAAATATTGTGAAAAAGTGTGCTGAAAGTGCAGTTTTTACGCACTAAAAAATTCATAACTTGAAGATCGTGGCTCGTTTTGAACCCATTCTAGTGGCCAAAATTTCGTCTTGACGTCATCTACGTTTTCATCTCTCACGGTTGGAAGCCAATTTTGATCAGAAGGTCTTCAAAAATGCGGATTTATCAAGTACTTTTGTACAGGAAATTTGTGATCGAAGTTTATTTGCGTCATGT